TCTTTCTTTCTTTCTTTCTTTCTTTCTTTCTTTCTTTCTTTCTTTCTCCTGGCTCTGCCATTGCTGTGTTAAGAGCCGGGGTTGGGTGGTAGAAGAGAGGAGGAGGAATCCTATCTTTAGGAGAGGGAAGACTGTACATGCTCAGGGGACACAGGTTGGGGATCAAAGCCGTGGAGTCTTCTGGACAATCCTTATGAGATTGGAATTCTTGGTGAGTCTCCAGCTCCTTTTGCTGGACTTGGCCCTTTATTAACTAATCAGGACAGAGCTGGAAGGGACCTTGAGGTCTTCTAGTCCAACCCCCTGCTCAAGCAGGAGACCCTATACTGGGGGTGGGATTCTACCAGTTCAGACCAGTTCTATAGAACTGGTTGTTATGATTCTGCACAGTTCGGAGAGCTGGCAAATCGTGCCCCTATCTGTCCCCACCCTTCTCCACCCTTCCCTCCCAGTCAGTCTTTATTGCGCCTGCCCGACATCACTGACTGTGTCCTTCCCCACCCAGTCACTCCTGAAGGAATCTTCAGGTTCTTTTTCCCTTCCCGATGATCAGCTGTGCCGGGATCCCCCTTGCTGTCTTACTGCTTCGCCCAGGATGCTTCCCTGAGGCCCAGGAGGCAAAAGGGGGTGTGGGATACATATGTATGCTGTGCGCCCCGCCCTGTGCTCCATTTTGTGCCTTCTTGGGACCCAGGGAAGACTTCTGGGAGCAAAAATGCCCCCCAGGAGGCTTCCCTGAGGTCCAGGAGGCCCCAAAACAAGGGGCGGTGCTGCAAAAAAGAAGAAGCCACACCCACAGAACTGGTTGTTAAAACAATTGAATCCCACCCCTGCCCTATACCATGTCAGACAAGTGGCTCTCCATTCTCCGTTCATGGACTTACACCCTCTTCTTCTTCTTCTTCAAGTTGCCTGCTGAATGCAACTGTGGGGGTCCCTGGGGTGCCAAAAGGGGTGGCCTAGCAAACATTGATGATGAAAACATTTTGGGCCACAAATGAGGAGGTGGGTGGAAGAAAGCCTGAAAGCTTTCACTTTTCTTTCTGTTTGTTTGTTTTCATCCTTTCCTCTAAAAGAGGCCCTCCAATATTCTCCAGTCATCTCTCTCCTCCCCAGCTCTGGTTAATAAGACCCAAATCATTGTTATTGTTGGCCTTTTGAGATTTCTGGCGATGTTTTCAGAAGAAGAAGGAAGAGGCAATGAGTGGCAAGCAGCTTTGTCCAGAAACTCCTGGACCCAGCTGAGATATTCCAATATCTCCTGTCTCCTCACCCCTCCTAGATGCATGGACACCCACAAGAGAACCACCCACAGCCAAAGAGAAGACACTGAAGTCAAGCAGGTGAGCCATTATCAGGCCCGGCCCAGCTTGGACCTTCAGGAAAGAAAGACACGTCTCCATTTGCAGTCGAGTTGCATCTAGTAAAAGGTATGCTTTCACTAAAGTCAAGTGGTTACAGCAAAAGCAAAGCTAGATCTGAGGATTCCTGCATAAACTCGGTAATCTTCCCTTGTTTCTCCCTGGTCATCTACAATCATGTCCCCTGAAGGCCAATCATGCAGATAAGAGGGAAAAATATTTATTTAAAAATATTTTAAGGAGGAAGCAGGGGAATTCCATCTCTTTGCTCACTCATGCCAGACCAACGCAACACTCTTGCATCATATCAAGCAAACATCTGCATCCAGTGGCTACACCATTATGTCTCCTTGCTGAATGGGTGTTGCCCACCATGAAACTGGGATGAAAAGGGCAGAGTTAAGCAAATGAACTTGGATTGTTCTGGGTATAAACAAGTGATGGATTTTTCCAAGAAGTTCTAGCTTTGTGGTCTTTGGAGTCATCCAAGGAATAAGGTGGAAAGACAACAGGCAGCTGATAGAAAAAAGCAAAAGGGCCTAAAATGTCAAAATGACCACGTGTGAGATTTACTATGTGTTCAACTTCCTGCACATTCCAAAAAGATAAAATATGAGCGGACCGATGATAAGATAGATGTCCATGCTTGAAACATAGAAAAACAAGGCTTTGTGTATATCTCGATGTCCTTCGGGTGTTGTGATGGTCAGATAGGACTCACAGTTTAGGAGCTCACTTTCAAAGGTTCCCCTAAAAATTGTGTGTTGTCAATATACATAGCAAACACACCCTCACAATATGTCCCCTTCCCAAAAATGGGTCCCCACCATGGTGCACTCAAAATAGAAGGGGATCAGGATACGTTTTAGGATGGGAGACTTCTCCTGTGGCCCCTGGACCTAAACCCAAGACAATGTTTCAGAGATTCCTTAGCTCAGGTGTTGTACAAAGAAAAACAAAAGAAGGTGCATCCTGTAAAATGGCATTTCCAGAACCTTCCATCTCCACCTTCATTCCTCAAATGAAACAATGGCATTGTTTATGGAGCCTACCCATCTTCTGAGAAACACACAGCCTAATTTTTTGCATGAATTGCTGGTCAATTTGAGTGACATTACTGACAATAATTTATTTAGAGCTTGTTGGTTGTTTCGCCAAGATTCGGGAGTCTAATCCTCCCTCAGGCAGGAAAACTTCCTGGGGGACTTTGAGCGCATCACCAGGAGACTTTTGAATTCCAGTCCCACCTTAACTCTTATTGAATTTGGGCTGGGAAGTTTGGAAACATTTTCTCAGATTAATGTGAGATATTAAAATTGGAGATTCCTAGAGTGTAAGATGGCCGAGTGTCCAATTTGTGGGTAGTGATGGAGGAAAGTGAAATTGTGGGATAATTGCTGTGGTGGGAATCAAATTTTTTTACTATTGGTTCTGTGGGCATGGGTTTGTGGGTGGGGCTTGGTGGGCATGGCAGTGGAAAATTACTTCAAAAGCCCATTCCTTCCTCTCCCGACTAACCTGCTTTCCAGCTCTGTTCTCCTGTGCAGGGCAACCAATCCAGCTGATCAGCTGGGACTCAGTGGGAGGCAGAGAAGAGATGGGGGCGAGGCCAGTCAGAGGTGGTATTTTCCAGTTCTCCAAACCACTCAAAATTTCCACTACCAGTTCTCCACAACTGGTCAAAACCTACTGAATTCCACCTCTGGATAAACGCCTCTTCCCTGTGGCACAAAGCCAGAAGTCTCTGCCTTCTTCTACTGCTTGTGCAAGAACCAGAGGGATTTGTGTGAATCTTAGACTGACCTTCTTCTGATCCACCAGAGCTTTTCTTATATCCTTAAAATGGAATTTGCAAAGGGATCCTATTCGCAGTTAGGAGCCATTATGAGACATAAAAATTGATTCCTAATTGATCAGTAATCTCTGTGGTTGGAGAGCAGAGAAGCTTCCATGGGTGCCTCTTCCTAGAAACCTAGAAGTCCCCTCCCCACTTATTCAGCCCCTTCTTGGACCTGGATGAACATTATGCAGCATTGGAGGTTTGTGACCTGGTCAATGATGCAGCTGCCTTGAGACAGGATCCCTGCAACCTTCTCCTGGGAAGAGTCCCAAGGTCCCCTTTCTCTGGACATCTTCTCCAGCCCTTCACAGATGAGACAGGCTTGGAGGAGGAGCAGAGAAATGCTTTAGGTACAAATTGTAGAGTGGAAAATTAAAGAGCCTGAAAATGGCTATTTTATTTCTCTGGTTGATGAAAGAAAGAAAAAATATACAGTAGAAATTTCTTTACAAACTTCATTTTTTTATTTACTTTATTTTTGCTGTGAAGTACATACAATCCCAAACTGAAATCCCAGACAGCTGTTCTGCTGAATTCTTTCTGCAAAGGAGGTTTTTATCAGGAAATCAAGAAAGACATATAAGAGGGATGAAGATTTCCCTCCACTGCTGGGAGCCAGTCAAGCATGGCATTTCACATCATTCTGGCATTTTTAGGGAGAGGATCAGGCAACCAGGCTGATGTTTGGTTCCCACAGATTCCTCCTGACCTCTAAAAGAAACATTAACAATTCTTCCACTATCGTAATGATGTTATATCTCATGTTTTTACATTTGTTCTGGCTGTGAGATGCTCCTTTGTGTTCAGCTCTGGCCTCAGAAGGATAATGTAGCACTTGGGGATGAAGATGCAGACCAGCAGACCAGCACTGGAGGCCAAGATGGAGAAGACCTGCACAGCCACCATGTGTTTCCCTTTGGTGCTCAGGTAGGTGGGCACAAAAGTCACCCAGACACTGCAGAAGACCAGCATGCTGAAGGTGATCAGCTTGGCTTCCTTGAAGGCCCCAGGCAGATTCCTGGCCAGGAAAGCCACCGTGAAGCAAATGGCAGCCAGGAAGCCCATGCAGCTGAGGGTGACGTAGAACATGACAACGTCCCCTTCGTTGCATTGCAGGATGATCTCTCCAGGCTGGGAGTGGAGGTCAGAGTCAGGGAAGGGGGAAGAAACTCCCAGCCAGATGGAGCAGATGATAACTTGGACTCCAGAGGAAGACAGGATGATGGAGTTGGCCAAACTCTTCCCCAACCATTTCTTTGCTCGGTTTCGTGGTTTTGTGGCCAGGAAAGCCAGCACCACCATGATGGTTTTGGCCAAGAGAGAAGAAACGGCAACTGAGAAGATGATGCTGAAGACCGTTTGTCGGAGAAGGCAGGTGGCTTTCCTTGGTTGACCAATGAAGAGAGAAGGGGACAAGAAGCAAAGCAGGAGGGAGACCAGGAGGATATAGGAGAGGTCCCGGTTGTTGGCTTTGACAAGAGGAGTTTCTCGGTATTTAATGAAGATGATTAAAACAAGGCCTGTGAACAAGAATAGGGCAAAAGAAACCAGGATGATGCCCAGAAGTTCTTCATAAGACAAGAAGGTTATCACTTTGGGGATACATTGGACTCTTTTTTTATTTGGAAATTTATCATCTGAACATTTGGTGCATTTTTCTGTATCTGAGAAAAAAACAAGAACCCCATATTTCTTTGTCCTTTGTATTTCAAGATATATTGTGCATTCTTTGGGAACAAGTGATTATCAGGAGCATTTTCCGGGATGGATTTCTTAATATCTCTAGAGACAAAAAATAAGTGTATCACTTTTTAAGAAAATATAGCTACAGTTTTTGACGGGCTATGAAATTGAGAGAAGCTTTGGACTTGCAAGATTTCCTTTGTAATGTGCACAATATTGATAGTTCCTATCAATTACTAAATAGTTATAGTTACTCCATTACTAAAGGAAAATAATGAATCAATTAATCTAATCAATTAATTCTTGTCATACGTGCCTCAGAGGTGGCTGGCAGATCAAGTGACTGTTGCAAATAATTTGGAATGGCCATTGGAGGAGTGGTGATATGGATGCAGATACATACAGGCATAACTATCCATGCCACCACATTGTGTATCTCATACATCAGCAACACCTTTTCAGTGTTTTCAAAGGGAACCCATGTAGACTGCATTGCAATCCTCCTTTCAGGAAGTGGACCTAAAGCAATTCCCCGTGTTTCAAGGAACTCAGGTGTTCCTAGAGAAGTAAATGTGGAAGGAAGGACACATCCAAGGTAAAAAGAATAAATATTTTCTCTGGCAGTAGTATAGCTTGTCCAATCTGCCACAGCCACCTCTCTATCCAGCCCTTCCTTCACAGTCTTTTTGCTCTTCTGTTTAGATAAGAAATGAGGCATTTTGGAAATAAACCAGAAACCCATTAAGCTTTAAAGTTTGTTTTAATTCACACTTTCATGACAATGCTCTGGATGGATCCAGTTCCACCAGGCCTCCCATTTTCCTCTGGTGTCACCCACCTTTCTGAATGGAGAAGGTCCCCTCTGGACAAGGAATACAGTCGTAGCAGCAAACTGGCTCTCCTTCTCGAGCCCTCTTGACAAATCCAGGACGACAGCTTTCCACACATTCAGATTGAGGAAAGGACTGAGCAGAAAAAAAACAGGATTGCCAAAGGAAATGTGTTAGGACTCTCCATCCATGGAAAATGGAGGTAAAAATGGATATTAGACAAGATATTAGATATTAACCTCTGGTCTTCACTTAAATAAATACAATATCTCTCACTATTTCCAAATGGTTGGAGATATAACTTCTGGAAGATTCTTTCTTTAGTTCCTCTCTTTTGTTTTTGGCATCTCACATTGCCAAAAAAGGGGGGGGGGGATTTATTAAATAAAAAAGTCTGGAGAGATGGAACCAGTGGTGGGATTGTAATGGTTCTGTCCAGTTCTATAGAACCGGTTGTTATGATTCTGCAGAGTTCGGAGAACTGGCAAATCGCACCACTAGCTGGCCCCGCCCCTCTCCACCTGCCCCTCCCCTCCGTGCCCAGTCAGTTCTTTTTTTTTTGTAAATTTTATTTGAGTTTTCACAAAGAGAAAAACAATACAAATAAAATATCTTTTTTGAAAGTAGCGTAATCCCGGGTTACATTCTTCATACAGACACCAATTCAGGTTCATGCTCATTTTTATATTCTATTCCATATCTTATTACTATTTTATATTTTCTGCATGGCTTCTCCCCTCTTTTAATTTTCTCAATTTTATTGTAATTATCTCATCTCAATTCAAATCATTGTATTTATATTTTTTGTCTGTCCTGTTTCAATTATCTATTATCTTTTCTCATTAAACAAAATTTCTCCTGTATTTACTGATTGGAGTATGACGCCTTTATATCTTTTTCCTAAAGTTGTGACATTCAATATAATACATCAATTCCATTCGGATTCTGCTTGGTATATTCTTAAAATACACACTGTATTCTTTAAAAAAGAAAAAATTATAAATGTATATAATTAAAACAGCACATTCCATTCCAATTCAATTCTATCATTACTATTAATATTCATTAAAATCTTAACTTCTTTTACATTACTTTTCAATTAAATATCATACTTCTGTGGGAACAATTATAAGCTTTCCATAATTAATTCCCCTCCCCTTCACTTATATTTTATAAAACATTAACTAATTAAAATGTTCCCGTTTCTTCCTAATTCAATTTTCTCATTTATTTCATTTCAATTTTTAATATCCAGAAATCTTTATTATCCCTTTGGCATTTTGTTTTATTTTCATCTTAATTGCCTATTAATGTCAAAGCAAATTTTTCCAATTTCTTATTTAAGTCTCTTAGTTGTCAGTATAGGAAAGGAGAGAGAAGGAAAAAAAAGCCAAACCTTTCCCTTTTCACTTTCCTTCGCTGCTTCTGACTCTTCTTTGGGAGTGATGTTGTTTTTTGTAAGTTTAAATTCCAGGGTACCTTGGTTGTTGCTTTTACAATTTAACTCGATCAGCCAAAACTTTCACTTCTTATCTTCCTCCTGCACATTCTTTTCCGGTCGAGTTCTTCTTTGTGGTGGCCATTTCTGACCACCGCTGCAACTGCCTTCAGGAAAGGGAGTAATGGCCAGCTGGGGAGGAGAGATGCGGCTCTCCTGAACCCTGCTGGCAGTCTCCCCTCTCTTCACCACCTCTACAGGGTGGCTTAGCCCCAAAACCAGCCGGCTCAGGGCGCTCCAGTGGCGAGCCCAGACAGAAACCGCGCACGATTGCGGATTTCTGCCTGTCGCCGAAGGCCTTCAAACCGGAAATCCAAGGCCCAGTCAGTTCTTATCGAGCATGTGTGGCATCGCCTGCAGCCTGCTTTTGCCCACTTGCCAGGCCAGCCATTGCTGCATGCCTTTCGCTGTGGCCCTACCTGATCTCCTTGGGTGAGTGAAGCTCAGCAAGCTCCGGGGCCCAGATGCCTACCTGCCACTGCCAGTCACCTTTACCCCCCACCCCACTTGTCTTTTGCTGCTGCCACCCACCACCCACACCCCCAGCAGATAAGGCCCATCAGGTGCGGTGAATCCAGGCGGGGGGCAAGATGCAGACAGGTGGGGACCAGAGCTACATTTCACTGTACTGGAAGACATGTGGAGAGGCTTGAGTTCTCCTACTGCTGGGAGAGCAAGAGGGTCTTTCCCGGCACAGCTCCAGGCAGCAGAAAGAAACAGGATTCAAGTGGGCTGCTTCTCTGCCGCCCAGAGCCACCGTTTCCCTATTGGAGAGGAAGTTGCAAACTTTTCGCAGTGCCGGGAAAAACTCTCTTGCTTTCCCAGGAGCAGGAGAACATGAGCCTCTCCACATGGGATTAGTTGAGATTCACACAGCTGCTGGACCCTGCCAGCAGTGAGGCAGAGGTGGGGGGGAGGCAGACCAGAGAGCATGGTCCATTTGCCTACCATCCCTCCCCTCTCCCACCCACAGCCCCTTTGTTGGACCCAGAATAATCATCCCTGGTTGACCCTGCTATGCCCACCCAGTTGCACCCATGTAGGCAACAGGCATTGTCATTTCAAAGTTGAGGGAGAATTTGGGGGAGGAGTTGGGGGGTCCTGCAGTGGGATGGTACAGGAGCTTCATTGAGAAGCAGGGAAGTGGCCTTCTAGTGGTCTGACCTGGTGTTCAGGCTGGAGGCGGGCCAGGGGAAGTCAGAGCACCGAGGGAAAGGGGGATTGCCAGGGGGAGCTGCCCTCTCCTAGCAGAAATGAGACCATTGGGGTAGTCCTAGGAATTGGGTGAGTCGAGCCACAGCTCCTTGTCTTCTTAGCTCAGGGAATGGCCGCTTTCTGCAGGAGGGGGACTGCAGAGGGGGCAGGTCTACCTGAGTGACTCCTCCGGTGTCTTTGCTGGATTATTTGGACACATACAAACGAGTGCAGTTAAAGGCACTGCTGTTGCATGTGAACTCAGGCTTCAATCCGTGGCTCCGTAAAGCCAACACCAAAAAAGTGGGCAATCAGGTGAACCTTTGATGCAATTCTCACTCGGATCTCAGCTGCTCCAGGCTGTCTGACCTCAAAGCCCTTTAGGAGCTGCTATTCCCAGGTTTCTACTCACCTGTGCTTGGTTGCCCCCTCTTCACCTTGATGAAGCGGATGGCCCAGCCTCTCACCCTCCCCTCTCTCGCCTGGCCTAAGAAGGTGAGGGTGATGGTGGGGGATAGCGAAGCGGATGGGTCCCTATCTTCCCGACTTTCTCTCCCACTCTGTGTGTGTCGATGTGTGTCTCCCTGAAAGCTGTGGCATGGCCATGCCAGCAAGCTCTTCTTGGTGCTCGTTACTCCTTTCATTTCTTCTTTTTGGAATCCAGACTGGCTGAACCACAGTGGAAGCATCCCTTTGGGCTACCCTTCTCCTCCTCCTGCTCTTCCTCCTCTCACAACCGGAGGTTGTGGCGGGGCTGGGAGGATGCATGAGTATGGGGAGATGCACCTCAAACAAATGCCAAAGCACAGCAAAACCTGGTATGGGGTGGGTGGCTGCTCACTTAAGAAGCGAGCATCTCCCCACACAACTGCACCCTCCTGATCCATCCACAGTTGCCGGGTGCGAGAGGAGGAAGAAGAGGAAGAGGAGGAGGGTTGCCCAAATGGACGCTTCCACCGTGGTCTGGCAATCATTATTCAGCCAGTCTGGATTCAAAAAAGAAGAAATGAAAGAAGTAGCAAAGAGCACCAAGGAGAGCTTGCTGACTTGAGGGAGACACACACACATTCACAAATACACACACACACACACACACACACACAGAGTGGAGGAGAGAGAGGGGAAGATAGAGACCCAGACACTTCACTATCCCCCACCGTCACCCTTACCTTCTCTCACTGCTCCATTTTGTGAACCATCTATGGTTTAGTAACTCCTTCAAACTGGTGAGAAACCCAGAAGGGCTGGAGAATGTGTCACTAAGAGCTTCAGGTTTGTTTGCTCCTTGTGCCCAAAATAGCAAAGAAAAAGGGGGAATTCTGTTGACGAGGGCCTGAATTCAGATGAATTTGAATCATGATTGTGTGGAGGTCTTTTTGGTCCCATTGGGAGAGGAGCTTCGTCCTGCTTGGGGAATAGTGTCCCCTGAAAGGGCCGGTTCATAGTTGGGGAGGTTCTTAAAGAGACCCGACCTGGTCAGACTTATCCATACCTCACACACACACACACACACACACACAGAGTGGAGGGGGGGAAGTTAGAGAAAGAGAGGGAGGGAGAAAGAGAGAAAAAGAGAGGGAAAGAGTGAAATAGAGGGAATGAGAGAAGAGGAAGAGAGAGAGAAGAAGAGGGAAAGAGAAAAGAGAAAGGAAGCAAAAGGAAGAAAAGGCATAGACAAACAAAGGGAGAGATGGAAGGAAGGGACAAAGAAAGAAAAAGAAAGGAAGAGATGGAGGGAGGAGAAAGTGAATGAGATATATGAATGGATAGATAAATACATGGAGGGAGGGAGAGAGAGAAAAAGAGAGGAAGGAAGGACACAAACCCTGGCTTCAGAAGACTCTTTGAAGCAATGCAACAATCTAGGGCTGGCCTGAGAAAAGATTTCAGCATTAAGTGATAACCAGCCGGTTCCTTCTCATGACCCCATTAACACGCATTTCTCCCCTCTTCTTACATCCATAATTTTAAGGTGTGATATCAGAACAATCTTGATAATTTCAGGTGAACTCAAAGCCTTGGAGCTGCTTCCTAGGAGCAGACGGCCCATTGCTCCATCCCAGGGAGGGTGAAAGGGAGGCATGGAGAGCTCTGGCCAGGTCTGGCCTCCTTAAGAGCCTCCCAGATTATGGAGCTGCCCCTTCAGGGGACACTTTTCCCCAAGCAGGACGAGAGGAAGCTTTTTTCCCCCAATGGGGCCAAAAGGACCTCCATCCACTCACGATTCAATCCCATCCGATACAGTCCAAGCCTGGTGTTATGTCTTTAGGACTGGTTGGAGTTCCCAACCAGGTCTGCTGTTTGAGCGGGAGTATCAGCAGCTCCCATTGGTTGGCTCCGTTTGACAGTCGGCTATAAAAGCCGGCTGTCGAGCAGAGCCAGCCCGTGTTTGCTTGCAGTCTGCCTCGTTAGCTGGCAGACGCGACAACCCTTTATTCCCTGAATAAAGACTGTTAGTTGTACGCTCTGGTCTAAGCCTCGTCTATTCCTTCGCTCCACAACACCTGGATTCAGGCCCCAGCCAGCAGAATTGCCGCCTTTGTTGCTACTCTGGGCACAAGGAGCAACAACCAGAAGCTACTAGGGACACATTCCCCAACACTTGTGGGTTTCTCACCTGTTTGATGGAGACCCTTAATTGTACATGGTCCACAAAATGGAACAATATTGAAGCCTCCCAAGCAGCCTAAGGGAAAAAATCCGGTTTCTACTGCTCAGATTCAGTTCTCGCTGAAGGTCAACCATCTTTGGGAAATAGCATCAGCCCTCTTGAAATGGGACCTCAGGCTTTGGAATACAGAGGAAAAACATCAAAACTTTCTCCTACCTTGTTGAGCAATTTTAGCTGTGAAAAAACATCTTGCCTGATAAAAAGTCTGTTTCTTTTAAAATACGCCAGAGTTTCTGTTATGTCCTGAGAACTCCAGGAGTTCTCACTCAGGTCCACTCACTTTGAGTGGGCGTTCTTCCCCCTTTCCTCATTGGTTGGTTCTCCCCAGCAGCCAGCTATAAAAGCAGGCTGCGGGGTCCAACCAGTCGCTGATTGCTGCGAGCCAGTTCCAGGCTTGGCAAGCACGGTCAGCCCTTTATTATTTAATAAAGTATTGTTGCACTCATGCTCTGGTTCAGCCTCTCATTGCTCAAACTTAACACTGGCGACGAGGATGGGATGGCTACCAGTAGCACCATGCAACCGCTGAGTCACTAGCCGCCGATCCGCAACCCAGAGAGAGCGATCGGCCAACAAAAAGAGCAAACAAAAAGAGCAAACGCTGATCCGCAGCCAGAGAGAGCGGTCAGAATCGAAAGTTAGAAGCGTCTGTAGCCGCTTGTTAGCCCAGCTACAGGGAAAGTGAAGCGCTGCGAGCCGCAGCCGCTCTGTATCAGGCGCGAAATTCAAACGGTTGTCATTTGAATTTCAAACCATAAAAGGTACAGCACAGCACTGTAGCCAGTCACTGACGCCCACTCAGGCGCGAACCCAAACGCCATCAACGGCTAACAGTCTAACGTGGTTAACCCAGAGAGAAAGAGAGGATTTAAAACAGCCTCTCCCGAGCTGAAATCACTTGCCCACCACGGGCTCTAAAACATTGTCTGCTGCCCCAGAGAGATTTTTTCCTCAGGTTATTCAACCGGTTCCAGCACCATGAGTTCCAATCCAGTCTTCCCGGCATTTAAACCAGATGAGGAGAAGTGGGAATCGTATAAGAACCGCTTCAATCATTATATCGATGCAGTTGGCCTGGCGGATGGGGGGGAGCATCGGAAAAAATCGTATTTCCTAATCTACTGCGGGGCCACCGTCTACGATACGGCCGCAGCGCTCGTGGCCCCTCGTGAGTTGAAAAACGTTCCGTGGTCAGAGTTACTTGAAATTCTCACTAACCACTATTCCCCCAGGCCCTCACAGATTGCCAGAAGATTCACCTTCCGTATGAGGAAGCAATTGAGCAAGGAGACCATAAATCAATATATGGCCGCTCTCAGAACAGCAGCACTGCATTGTGGGTTTGGAACCTACCTGGAGGACATGCTCCTCGATCAATTAGTCTGCGGGGTCAAGGACCTCCACCTGCAAAGGCGACTTCTCGCAAAGAAAGACCTCAACCTCGCACAAGCAGTCGAGGAAGCCTTGGCAGCCGAGTTGGCAACAACATCAGCCACCGAAATCCAGGGCCCTAGCGCCAAGCTGACATCACTCCCAGTCCACTCCGAGGAGGTGGTAGCAGAGGAACCCATAAGTGATGAAAACGAAGTCCACCGCCTATCCAATGACAGACGGCCGCAGGTAGGAGCCAGACAAGAAAACAGCGGTCCTCCCAAGCACATCACCCTGTGCCTAGCCTGTGGGGGATCTCATCAGAGGGCCACCTGCAAGTTTAAAGGAGCCACCTGCAATAACTGCCATAAAAGGGGACACATCGCGAGAGTCTGCCAAGCCCCCCAAAGCACAGCACAAAGGCACCCTCCCTCGCACTCGGGACCACAGAGGCAAGTACTGAACTGTCGTACGCACCACCTTGCCAAACACACGTGCCACACTGTTAGTAAAATTTCTCTCTCCGTTTCCCTAGAAGGTAAACCGTGCCGCATGGAGGTTGACACAGGGTCAGCGCTCTCAATTATCTCGTGGAACACCCTTAAGAGGCTCCAACCAAGCCTATCCACTAGCCGGCTCCAGAGATGCCAGTTTGGCCTGAAGGACTACCAGGGGAAGACCATTCCTGTAATCGGCAGAGGCAAGTTCCTTGTCAGTTTTAAAGCTTTTAAAAGTCACCTACCTCTAGTGGTAGTTAACGGCAATCTACCCACCTTATTGGGGCTCGATTGGTTTCCCCATCTCGGCCTAGGGCTAACAGGAGTCCATGCTGTCTCAACCTCAGACACTGACTCCTTATTCGCTGATTACTCAGACGTATTCAGCGAAGAGCTGGGGTGTTATAAGGGTACCCCCATCTCATTCTCGGTTGACCCCCAAGCAGTCCCAATCAGACTAAAACCGCGTAGGGTCCCATTCGCTATTCGGCCAAAACTAGATGCAGAATTGGATAAACTATTAAAACAAGGGGTCATTGAGCCAACAGATTTCGCCAAGTGGGAGACGCCCATTGTCACACCCCTCAAAAAAGACGGTAGCCTGAGAATTTGCTCGGACTACAAGACGACAATCAATAAATTTCTGCAAGTTAGCGCTTATCCTGTGCCCGTCATCCAACACTTATTACACACATTCGAACCAGGCACCATTTTTGCTAAATTGGACATGTCTCAAGCATATCAGCAGTTCCCTGTAGATAACCAAACAGCGGAACTCCAGACAATTGTCACTCACAGGGGTGCCTTCCGATGCAAGCGTCTCCAATTTGGCGTAAGTGTGGCCCCGGGTATTTTTCAATCCCTCATGGAGCGGATTTTGCAGGGCCTCCCTGGTGTAGTACCCTACTTCGACGACATCTTAGTCTCGGCCAGGGACAGACCCCAACTCTTCCAAAGAGTTCGAGCTGTGTTAGAGAGGTTCAGACAGCATGGCCTCAAGTTGAAAAAAGAAAAATGTACCATTGCCACTAGACAGGTGGACTTTCTGGGTTATAAAATTGACGCCTCTGGCATTCATCCCCTGGAGTCCAAGGTTAAGGCAATCCACGAGGCACCCACTCCAACCTCCAAAACAGAACTGCAGGCGTTCTTGGGGCTATTGAACTTTTACGCATCCTTTTTGCCCCATAAAGCATCAGTAGCTGAACCCCTACACAGATTACTGGATAAAAAGTCACCATGGCACTGGGGGGACAAGGAAGACCATGCCTTTAACGCCGTCAAATCACTAATCACGTCAGAGGCGGTACTTATTCAATTCGACCCTAGCCTCCCTTTAGTACTGGCAGCTGACGCCTCCCCTTTTGGAATCGGGGCGGTACTAAGTCACAGGCTTCCCAATGGCGCCGAAGCTCCCATCGCCTTTTTCTCAAGGACGCTCTCTACCACGGAGCGCAATTATAGCCAGATTGATAAGGAAGCCCTAGCAGCTGTTGCAGCCGTGAAAAAATTTCACGAATTCCTTTTTGGCCATTTTTTCGAGCTGGTCACTGACCACAAACCCCTCCTGGGTCTCCTAGCCGGGGACAAGCAGACCCCTCAAGTCCTCTCCCCTAGGATGACAAGGTGGACTCTCTTCC